TTCAACTGGTCAACCAGGGTGTTGAGGTGCCATGACGCAGTTCGAAACCTGCTCGGGCTCGGACCTTCTACAAGAGCAAGAGGGAGTGGTTTGGGGTCTCGGGCGAGGCGAGGCGACTGTGTCCCCGAGACCCTCCCTGTGCCTTCTAAGAATTCCTTCATCTTCTTCACTTCTTGTAGCTGTTGATTGGCTCCTCAGATCAAAATCGTGCAGAAAAGTAAGTACTTCGCGAGACGCGATCCCTCTCAACTGGATCCTTGGGATTCATGGCAAAATCATTCCAAAAGCCATTAAAAACCATTCACCCAAATCACCCAAACACTCACAGCCCGACCCTCCCGGTCCCTCCCAGTCCCCCAGTCCAGAAACAATGAGAAACCCTAGACCCCGCATACCGCATAGACCGAGGGCTGAGGGCCGAACAGCGGGTCCATGAGCCTTCTGGGTGAGAAGACAGTCATAAGAACCACCAAACGCATACCTGGACCCTCCGACCCTCGTGTCGGTGCCCTGGACCTGGAAGCCTAGGCCTACTAGTAGTGTGGGGTAGTCGAACGTCAAAACACACCCCTGTCGGGTCGGAGGGTCGGGTCGGAATTGTCAACCCATGCTCCGTGGCGTTCGCGGCGTGCGGCGGCGGCGGTTCGGGGTCTGAAGAGCTGAATCCTGGTCTTGCTTTGGGCCCATCCGTCAGCCAATGAGGAAGCAGGAAATGTGAAAGTGGTTCCTGAAGATGAGGAGATTGGAAACCCAAAATCCACCATGTTCAGTCCGACAACTCAAAGCCTGGAGACCAAACTCATCCAAACTCCAACTACTCCCATTCATCCAGCTACATTCAACCCCATGAATCCAAAAAAGGATGCGAAAACTGACCCAAATACGACCCCCCCCATCAGTCGTTCCACCCTACAGATCTCATCGATCTCTCCACTTCCGAGTCTCTTGACTTCCACTCTGCCAGCTTGGCCTCCATCTCTTCCACACCCCCAGCGCCCACTGCTCCATCTGCGACGAGCACGACCTCCACGCCACAGCGCCGGAGCCTCCGCACGAAGGCCTCCGCGCGCTGGGCGACCAGGTCGAAGCGCCAGGAGTCCAACTCATCCTGCCCGTGGCACGGCCGCCGCGCGCGGGGGCCACGGATGGCGCGCATCGAACGGAGTGGCCAGGGAGATGGGCAAGGGGGGATGGGCCACTGCTTCCAGCACCGTCGACTGCGACTCTCCATGAATTGGGATCACATCAGCTTACACAACCCATCCGCCTCGACCAGTCTCGCCACAACCCACCACCCACCACCGCCAGGCGCTCCTGAAATGAGCCTAGGAGCCAGAAGACGAAGGGTTGGAAATCCACAAGGAGGCGAAGGTCTTCAGTCCGCTCCTCGTCCAGATCGACCACCTGCATGCGTGTCCGCTGCAGCTGCAGCTGCACCCAGGCGCCACTGCTCGACTGCGACTCGAGAGTCGCAGCAGGCTGCCCAGAAGGAAGGGAAGGGTCACCAACCCAGAACATCCAGAACATCCTGCTTTCCATGCAAAAGTCCCCAATCAGATACTGCCCAAAGATTGGAGCACACTGTAGCCTAGCTCTCGACTTTGTGAGGAGCGAAATTCCTTTAGACATACCTTTGAATATAGGTTAGGCCGCTGAGCATTTATGTCGCGGATGTGATTCCGGACTTTTTGATCATATCAGAGCACAGTGAACAAACAACTCGATGTGGGGGATGAATTTAGTGATCCATCGGTCGACTCAAACAGGGTTCATCCGAAAACCTTCACTGGGTCGGCCTTGGGGAAGTGCAACATCCGGCCAATGGGAATGTCCGGTGGAAAGTCCCAAAGCCGTTGGGTGAATTTGATCTCCACCCCACAAATCAACCCTCCATCCCAAAGAACGGTGCCTTGCCTCAGGTGGTACCCTTGTCCTCAAGAGCTTCAATAACCCCCGCACGCCCATGGCTTCTACACCGTTCGCTGGAAAATGAAGTCGGAAATCCTGCGGACATTGATCTCATACATTCCCCTGAGGCCTGACAAACGACTCAATGGGAGCAAAGAAACAGCGGTGGAACATCGGGAGTTCGGGAGACGGGACCCGACTCTGGCTCCGGAAGGTCAGGGATTCTGGGGAGTTCAGCACCAATCCCTGGGACCGGGGAGGGACCCTGAAGTGGTGGACGAAGCGGAGCATCAAGCAGTTCTCCGTTCCACAGCATCGGTCGGTGTCAAGTGGAGCCTAAGAATCTCCCCGGTTTCAAGCCGTTCGCTTCGGAAAGTGCCATAGCCATGATCAATTTGTAGACTCACTTGATCTCACTTGTATCCATGTGCCCGTACAGCACAAAGATCACAAAGGCTTTGGCGTCTATTGCGAGCCTTCAGCTATGCAACTGACGGACAAAGTGTCATCTTAACCATATAAAGAAACTGCACATTTAGGACCCTACAGGACCTTTCTCGCTCTTTCGCTTTCGCACCCCAGCCCAACGCCGCAGCCCCTCCTGAACGCAGCACAGGAAGCTCCAGCCCGGCCCTTTTCCCCTCCAGATCTGCTCGTCTTCGGGACATTTCCCACCACCCAGGCGCCCTGGCCAAAGCCCGGCATGCCAGCGCCTGAATGGTTCTGAGCAAATCGGCCCCCGGAGCCTACGGCAGGTCCGACACGGCGGGCGTTTAGGTTGTTTCGCAGCAGCACTCAGGGTCGTGGGACCCGGCGAAAAAAAACCGGTTGGGTTGTGCAAGCTCACAATAAAACCGGTCAATCTAGAGTGATTTGATGTGATTTGATGATTGATGCATTGATGCACAGAATGTGTGAAGGAGGTGTCTGGGCCCATCCTGGGGGGGCCCCATCCAGTCCGTCGTCTCTTTTGCGGGGAATTTGCTGTCCCGGAGCCGGAAAGATAGAGGTTCCCTCCTTTTCACCCACAGAAACCAGGGAAAGTAGAAGTTGACCCTCGAACCGCGGTCCCCAAATCGATAGTGGCACGGGTGCCGAAAAATAGATTTTAGTAGTGGGGATCTAGGTTCTATCTATCTCAGGGTCTGTGGTTGTAAAACGGCAAAACCAAGTTTGGAACCCCTAGTTACCCTAAGTTGAAATATGAAGAATGCGACGTCCCTCCTAGTTTGAAACTTGACCAGGCTGTGCCTCCCCCCTCCAACACGTGACCAGTCGTGACACTTCATTGATGAAACTGGGTGCATGGCCCCTCAGGCAATGCAAGTTGGTGCATCATGGTCCGTGCATCTGCCTTCTGGTGGATGGTAGTGTCATTTGAGAGTTGGTGATAAAGTTGCTGGCGTTACTTCTCAATTTTGCCATCCGCGTTTCGCCGCAAAAGGGCTCTTCCCGCCCTTAATCTTGCCGTGGCTGAATCAGCAGCCGACCAAAGGCAAAACGCCAGCGCTTTGGCACGGTGCCGTGACAAAGAGCAGCTGCAGCTAGCGCAGCTACAGCTTGTAGCTGAGCTGGGACCCGGTGAACTGGCGCCTTCTCCAAAACCGCTTTGAATGTGTCATCGCAAAAGAACTGAAGTGGGAAAATCATGCAAGTGGATGGCACCAAGGTGCCGGTGGATGTGCCCTGGCCATCCGAACTCAGGTGCTTCGGTTCTCAGGTAGCGAGTGTCGTGTTGATTGCGTGGGAGTGCTAAGTCAAACCATGTCCCCCAGTAAAAATCCATAGCCCAGTATGTAGCAACGCTGGATGCTGGAAACATGCGGCAGCGGCAGCGGCGCCAAACAAAATTGGAAGGCAAACATAATATTTGGATGTTCATGGTTTTGCAACACTGGGAGATGTTGTCCATGATTAGCACACTCCGATCGATGGTTGATTCCTCTGGCCGAAGCATCCAAAAGTCCCTCAAGAAGTCCTGCAACGTTCTGCAACCCTTGATTGAGTGAAGGTCACCAGAGCCAGCCGCAGATCTGCACATCAAAGAACGGGGCTGCAAGCGAGAGCTTCCGCAGATCAAGCTTGAATCTTGAGTGCTGGTAAGAATGCAAAATGTTTACTGTAGGGTTTTGACATGTGACCTGACCGTCGCCCACACCAAACGTCTTTGCAGCCTCTCATAAGTCTGGTGGAGCGCCCACACTCACGGGGGATCTCCACATGGTCGAATTCAGGGCGTGGGCAGTGGCGCTTGCCGTCGGAGTTCCGCTTCAAGATCGGCACTCCGGGCCGATGAAGGATCCGAAGCGGTCTTCGGCCGACTCCCTCCATCTTCCGAATGAAAACGAATGAAGAAAAGGGTGGAACAATGGAAATGCCCAAAGAGCGGAACTATAAAAAACATCCGAGTTCTTTGAAATGGAAGAAGTGGACCTGCAATGTCCTACATGAGCTCATGTGTCTCCCGATGTTTGCTCTGGTCAACCGAACTCTGACTGGGCGTTCGGCCGCCCCACGGACTGCGCGTGCCTTTGAAACCGCCCCTGGCCGTGTCCAAGGTCGTCGCTGCCACCGGCAAAGTCAGTGCAGGCGGCAGCAAATGTCGGGGATGTGGAGAGAGGGTTCCCTTGATCATAGCTTCAGCATGTTCAGCACAGATGCTCTCACTAAAGACAAATGGCCAATTGCAGGATACTCACAAGTCCATGGAAAAACCGGGTTCTGTATCAGAAAGGTTGGATCCGACCTGCTACACCCCAGTGGGAGATAATTTCCATCATGTCAGGCCAGGCCTGTCTTTTACAGCCCTCGGAGGCAATCCCTCTCTGTGAAGTGATCAACGTTCCTCAGGGTGGGACTGAGCTCCGACGTCCCATCCGAGTGGCCCATCTACACTTGATCAGAGACCGAGCGAAGTCTCGGCCCGAAAGCGTCGACCGGCATCTTCTCAGCCAAAAAGGAAACGGCGTCTTCCCAGCATCTATCAGTAGCACCATGCCGGCACCATCCATCTGTTCTTCTTTTTCGCAAAAAAAAGTCAACAACGTCATCATGCCTTGCTCAATCCTTCCCTGACAGTGGATCTACACATCTCACTGTGAGTCCTCGATGCTGATCACTTCGTGCACCTGGACGGCGAACGGCCACCGGAGACGGCGACTCCATGCGGCCGACTGTACTCAGCCGTAGGAGGTGTTGGATATGAGAGACATGTCATCCAAATGGTTGGACGTGTTGGTGGTCCTATACTGGTGACGTTTTTTCTCCATGTATTCTGACAAAACTCCATTAGACTCCTATATATGATCCCTCTCAAAAGAAGCGAGCAATCTGTTCATCTTCTTCCACAGATCCACAGACCTCCAGCATCGTGACAGAGATCCGAAAAAAGGAAGTCAAGTATTCAAAAGCGCTGTCTGTATCGGAAGTCCTCCTTGTGCCAATCAATCTGTGATAGTGGGTTGCTGTGACAGTGAATCGAGGATCAATTCTGTATCAACCAACAAAAACGCTTTTGATTGGGTAAATAGTCCTCAGTGTTTTGTCTCTAACAGGTTCATGTCCTGCCTCGCCCAGAATTCGTCCAACCAAGCAAAACCCGCCGGGTTTTGAGGGGTTCCTCAAAGAAAGGTATGGCCGATCAGCCTATAAAACAACTTAACCAACCCGTTAAGGTCCCATCCTTCACTCAACTATGCATCCGACCTCGAAGCGCGTGGGCACAGGCGTAGAGATCTCGCGCTTGACGGCAACCACCTCTACGCCTGTGTCATGCGGATGCATCTCGCGTCCGTGTGGCCTCCCACTGAAAGACTTGCCTGTCATCTCAAGGGAAGCTCGTTTGGAAGGGTGTACAGATGTGTACTACGTTACTTGGGGAGCACAGTCATTTCGCGCCACATGATGCTGTGCTCCGCCACACAAGGCTGTCCCATCTCCACGCCTTCAGTGGGAGAGGCCTCCTTCGTCTCAGCTTCCACGGACTCGGGCTCAGCTTGCTCCTTCGTCTCCTTGGCCTCGAAACACGACGAGAAGATCTGACCACAGATCTTCCATATCTTCCATTACCATCTGAGTGCACAATCTGATCATGAGCATCGTTGTTGAAGGAGCTTGTTTTCAATAATTGTTGTTGTTTACGATAGGATATAGACCCAGCCCACTGGTGGTGATGATCCGATTCATGAGCCTCCGAAAGAAAAACCAACCTAACGATGTCACTCTGGTCACCTGGCCACTGAAACTCGGCCCGGCCAGAAGTGGAACAAAACCCACGCCTCCGGACCCGTGGACCGACCGTTCGGTTGATCAGCGGATCGTTTGGTGTTGTGAATGGAGTTGAAACGGATCAGGAAGTTGTTCGGTTCTTTAGAAAACGCGCGACGTGCGAATCTGTCCAAGCCACAACTCGTGTTAAGCAGTGGAATGTTCGGTTTATATAGGACTCAAAGTGAAACAAATACTATATACATATATGTGTGTGTGCGTTGGGGGCCTCCAGGCCCAGTAATCAGTTCACGAGGCAAAAATGAAAAGTCCTTCACAAAAAAAAGAGGTTCACCTGTCACAACTTCCTTAGAGTCTTCTTTGCTTCGCTGCTGCATCAGGCTATGTTCAAACCTTATCAAATCATTTTTGGGAAGCTGTAAAGCTATGTAAAGCCTGAACAATTCTGACCTTTCCCTAATTTTCTTGTTGCCAAGATATATATCCATAACAAGGAGGAACCCCCCACACCCCTAGTTTGTGTCGCAGGTATCCCCTTTGCAGTGTCTTTGGTCTTTGATCCACACCGTCTCAGCTTGTCCCTTGCCTCTTCTTGCCTGTGTTTGATCTCCTGCTAAGGGCTTAACCTTTAGAGGTTTTGTAGCAAATCCCTTATCAACGCAAAATCTCAATCACCGAACTGGGTTCAACACTAGTACATCAATCTCCCGTCATCTCATTTGAGCTCTGCTTCGGGGTGATGAAGATCAATATCAAGAGTTGGAGAGAACGGAAAGAAAAGAAAACCATTGGATTGACATGCATGGATTTTGACCTTAAATAAATATGTTCTAAGTGATTGTCCGTTTTCCCGTTTTCGCTTGGACGCTTTCCGGTTTTGGGCTCCGAAAGCGGAGACGGGGTTCAAAGGACGAACCCCTGCCGTTCTCTCCGACCCCCAACGACCCTGCCGCTCCTTCGCCACACGACGGCTGAAGGGCCCCAGGCGTGCGAGCTTCTTCTGCTCCTGGGACCACACTGGAGAACTGGGGAGGGGGCAGTTCTTGTAAGTTCTTGTAAGATTTTCGGTACTGTAGACTCTAGACTCTTGGTTCCTGAAAAACACATATCTTTTTTCATGTTCATTGAACAATGAATATAGTATGCTGGATATACTGCCTCATGGATCCTTCAAAAGGTAGTGGTTTAGTATAGGAGATACTGTAGGCAAACTCTGTTCAGGATCTGTCTATGTTAAACTTGGAGGTGTCAATTCCGCCCTCTCATCTTCAACGAACGCTTCACAAAGTGATCCAGTGTGTGCAATTACAACATATATATATATAATTACGTGGAAAATGCGTGAAAATGCTTGACCCAATGACCCCAAACCCTTCATGACTTGGTTTGGGTTCCCTTTCTCCTGCTCCGAAGAGAGGTCAAAACCATTGGTGAACTGAGATGTGAATCCAAAAACAACAAAATGAGTTTCCAAATAAAATGCTTCAAAATCCATCCTACGTACTATATAATGCGGACCATATTGCTAAGGAATCTTCCAATAGCCAATGAACATGATATGTACCGACTCGGCGGCGCTGGCCGAATCCGACAGGTGCCAGGGTCCTTCTCCAGAGAACGCACCTGTTGACGTGCTTCCTTCTCCTTGCGCTTCAGCTCATCCTGAGCCTTCTTCGCTTCTTCAACCTGAGAAAAGCAATCTCAGGGGATCTCAGGGTGTTTGTCGGGTGAAGGGAAGGAAGGTGTTTTGTCCACCCTTTTCATGGGTAGAGGCCGGTAGAGGAGTCTTGACAAACAGGTCGCGCCTAGCGGGGAAACTCCATTTGCAAAATATCCTGGGCGATGCGCAAATCCACTCAAACCCTGAAAATCCCCCTGAATGCCCTCTGACCACAAGCTTGGCCCTGTCTATCAGAATCCAGCAATCCCTGCATTCCTCAACGAAACCCGCCACTCTGAATGACTACTTCACCAGGCCATGGAAAATGCTTCTCCCCGGGCCCTGTTCACCAAAAAAAGTCCCAGGTCCCAAGGTATGGAAAAGATGGAGAGGAAAAAGGAACGGTGGTCCGTCCTTCCACGTGATCTCGTAGTCCACCGCTTTTCAGGAACCCAAAGAACTCATCATCCAACACTCCCCAAAAAACAAATCCAAAACGCTGTTCACCCTCCACTCTTTCCCGGACTCAAATGCGATATCACCGGCATCCGACCAAGAAAGAGACCCATCCAATCCGTCCCAGGCCGCCGGCCCCAGGCCGGGACCGCTCGCCCAGGTGTCCCCTACGACTTTCATCAATTCTTCGATCTTCTGCCGCTTGGCATCCTCCTCCCCGGCGCGCGACTCCTCCGCCTCGCGCCGGCGCTTGCACTTCTCCTGGCGGAACAGGGCGGGCGGCGCGGTCGGGGTCGGCGGTTCGGTGCAGTCAGGGTCGGTCCTTCTCCAGATCCAGAAGCACCAGCATATCCTGCGCAACAAGAAACGGAGGTTCTTCAAAGAGCTCATGGAGCGGTTGACATTGGGATGCAACCCCAGCATCACTTCCACGGCTTCGAAGGTCTAGAAGTCGCGGGCTGGCTCGTGGGCTCGAACGGACCACTGCGGAAGGCGGCTTTGAGGCCCGTCATGTGCCTTGCTTCTATTTGGGTTAATACACTTGACCAGAATTGAATACATTTGTGCCCAACATCATCCAACATGATTGAAAGGGACCTTGAATCTTGAACACCAATCGGCGGATTGCAAAAAAGATAACGAACTCAACAAATTCCTGAGCTGCTCCTCATAGCCTTGGAGTTCTTTCTTCTTCAGTGCCGTCAACTTTGCGGCCTGGACTTCATCCAGTCTGAATGACCCCAGGCGTGGTTGCAGACCCAAGGCGGGGTAGCTGGGATGAACTGCGTAGATGCGTAGATGGCTCAAGGGCCTTGTCTTGCCGATGTCCACCCGCTATGTGTTTAAAGGGAGTTCTTTAAATTCATGTGGGGCACCAAATCACCCGTTTACCCACTGGCACAAAGAAGAAGTTCATCTTTCACTGGCAAACTGTTCAGCTTGGTGGTGCAAAACTCCATCTAGGTTGCCTGGGGTCCATAAAGCCAATCAAGCTAGCCCTCTTCTGCTGAATAGTACGCAGCGAATTGCTACCCACCATGCCTCCATCTTCCAGTCGCGGCGTCGCGTTTCGTTTGCAGAAAACATTTGAAACTTGAACCGCTTCCCGGTGCAGCTAGAGCGGCTAGAGAGAACATGTCACCATCCACTCGTCGTCTGTCCTCATGTGACCTGGCCTCTTTTTTCTTCTGCTTGATCTCCTTCACGCGCTGAACTGCCTGACTGTCCCACGCCGGTCGGCGTTCTGTCCCGTCGGCGGTCGGCGAAAGGTCTCACAGTCTCACCCTGCAGCCTTCAGAACAACACAAACTAAAGGGACACATGGATAATGTGAAAAGCCAGTGGCACAAGGCACAACAAACCATGTTGTACACAATGGATGACCAAAGCCACCAAACACTGAATCCGTTTTCTTCCGCTACCCACTCCTCGCACCTCAGTCTCCGCCTCGGTCGCTTCCTCCACAGCTTTGCTCAGCTGGGCCACCTACCAACGCAGACGTCACCCACGTCTGCACAAAAACCACACGAACTCTCGCGCACGGATGAAAAACGGTGCTGCCCTTCACAGCGGACTGAGGTCCCCATGAAGTCCCATGAGGTCTCATTTGCGACAGGTGAGTGGCATGGTGGATCCATTGGTCCCCCTGCCTGGTGAGCAAAGGTGGGGTATCTGGTGGCAATGCTCCCAGTGTGACACGGTTCTTCGAGTAGGGTTCGGAAGCCAGGAGCTGGACTGCAGAGTTCACCAGGCAGGGCTTATAGCGAATCCGAAGTCAGGAGATCTTTAAGAGTTTGATATATATATATATGTATATATCTATATATTCTCAGTGTTGGGTAGATTGTGTCAGGATGTTTCAGGTGTTCATCTCAATCTTTGTTTTCGTTGTGCCAATATGGAACTGTTTCAAAACAGTTACAGTAATGAGCATGTCAGCATGTCACCTCAAATCAAGTAGGAGACCCTCAGTTTGGCGACAAGTGCGTGAAAACCATGTGGGTTCGATGTAAAGTCGGCAAGGGACAAAAGATCTTACGTGGTGTTTGCCCTTCGGCACCTCAACGATAGACCCGATGATAGGGCGCTCCCCACCTCAGCTGTAGCCTCATCCACCAGCGTCTGCTTCTCCTCCTCAATGGCCTCAACAAGACCGGGCCAGCCTATGGTTGGTTGCGACACAATGGCCATAAAGACATCTCAGGTAGTGGAAGGGAGCAACACCAAGTACAGGTGTTCTCCCCTAGCCTTTCTAGTATGAAAACCCTGCAGCCCCAGTGATTGGAAGTCAGCCGTCCCACAAGGCTGACTCCTGAACCCAAAATCCGCATGTCCTCCCCTTCCAACCACTTCAACATCAGCGGCAGTGGTTGTGAAAGTCAAAACCTTCAGAGTGAAGAACCAGGCTGTGAAACTCCTGAAGGCAAGAGTACTGCCTGCTATCCGCAGTTTCTTGATCACCCTCCAGGATCATAATGCTACAAACAACTTGTCACTTGTCATCCACCATAGTTGGCCTCACAAACTAGTCCCAAATCCGTTCTGCTTCTTGCAGAACAAGCTCTCCTGAACAGCTCCAGAAAACAGGCACTCGCGCGCGCGCGCGTGCGCGCGTGAACGACGGCGCCTTGGCACTCGCCACCTTCCGCCCCTCTTCCTCCAGTTCCTTGACCAGGCGTTGCTTCACCTCCTCTGCACTGGAGGAGCCCAACTCCGCCAGCACCCGAGCGCGCAAGGATTGGGCCCGCTTCGTCTTGGGGCCATCCTGGCTGCACGACAGCAGCGGCTTCTTTGGATGATGTACGACATGAACCTTCATCCTGACCTCTACCTTTTGGGGTGGTTTTCAGATCTGGTGAAAGCTTCGGATGCTGTGAAAGCTGTCTGATTTCAGACCATGAAAGGTGGTTTCGGGTCTCCGATAGGATGGGAAGGAACCTCAAGGACTCTAGCTCTGGCGGCCATCCAGACCTTTGCCACAGCCTCTAACTCAGACAGCTTGAGGCTGGAATTCCCAGTAAAGAAACTGGTTGGGAGTTGGGAGGCCACCCAAAGTGAAGGAAAAAAAGGAGGAACTCCAAAACCGCTTCCATTTCAAGGACCCTTTCCTGGTTTCTTACAGCATGTCCCACCCACTTCCCGGCCTCTGCTTCGGCTGCTTCTTGCTCTGCTTCGCCCGTCACCTCTTCGCCGGTGGCAGTCACGTCCGCCGGCACATCCGCCGGTGCCGGCTCGGCCGCGGGCGGCGAGCCGCTGGTGCCCTCGGGCAGCTCCTGGTGGGGCCAGCAGGATAAGAGTTCTGCCATTCTGCCTTCATTCAAGAGGATTCTTCACACATTCAAGAGGATGTCTGAAGGAAGTTCTGGAGGAAATCATGCAGTTTCAACAGGAAGCTCTGACCTCAAAGGATCTTACCTCTAGTTTGGACCGGGCATGATTGGTGTGCTTTCCAAGCGTCAACTGCAACTACAAAAGTGGAGGTGCAGTGTGGCCCATTTGCTTTGCAGGTGGAAGGGCTGAAACTGCTGGAAGTTAGAAGCTCACGTAGACATGTTTGCCCACTCGACCCTCAGAGAGTCAAAAAAGAAACTGTAGCTGGGCTGTCTCACACCTGGGACATGCAGGTGGAACTCCCTGTTGCATCATCGCATCAGCAAAACTCAGTGGCATAGATGTCATCAAAGTCATAAAACAGTGTGCTTGATCATCTCCGTGCATAAGAACACCAAGGTTTAGTTCCCTTCATCTACGCATGTGGCTTCCGACTGAAACCACTGCTGGACCACACCAGAGAAATTCCAAAACATACAGAAAACATTCGAAAGCTAAAACATCTGCTTCTCTTTCGTAACGCCCAACAGTTTGGTGCTCTACAAACTGTACTACAAACCCCAAATCAGCCCGCCCCCAACAAACCCACGTCGCCCACACCGTCGCCTCGCCACGTCCGCCCCGCCGGCGTCGAGTGGCGCCTCTCCCCACCCTGCCGCCTTCAGCTCCTTAGAGGGGAGCACCTGACGCGCGACACGAACGCCACGCGGAGGTCGCGGGCGTCCGGTGGTCGCAGGGGCCCGTTTTGAGATTGGGAGCTGAAGCAGCACCTGTTTCGGGGGGGGTCCAAAGAGGAAATATAAAGAGCCACAAAACTTCACAAAACCAAAAGTTAAAGACTGACCATTGGGGTCCTTGGACGCAAAAACAGTGAACAGTAGTGAAGAGTCCTGAAAGCCCAGTTTGCTTGTGATCTTGGTGCCTGGATTCCTAGGTCCAGTTGAAAGTGGCAAAAAAAAAGTGTGTCGTGCCTCGGGAAGTGAGAAGGTCAGAATTCCCGACGGCTGCCCTCAGTTCAGTTCAACGGAATCTAGTACAGGAGATGGTCATAGATGGTCTGTAAGAGAAACACGGCATGGGAAAGTCAACTGCTTCGGGATTCTCCAAATCTTCAGGCCGAATGATGTGTCGATGGTGCGAGATTTGGAGTCTAACATGCCTCGACCACCTGGCTAAACACCCTCAGGAAGCTTCGGAGGTCCTTTCAAGCTGGGGTCCTCTCAAACAGGTCGACAGGACATCCCCTTTTTATTTCGACCTTGAGCGACTGGGCCTTGCTATGCGTTTAGCCTCAAACTTAGACTGTCATCCCATGCTGTCTGACAGCTGGCGGGTGCAGTTCACCAATGTTATTCTCTGGATGGCATGGCCCCTTGGAAGACCATGTTCATCTACAAACAGGGCATGTTCACTTCCATGTTAGTTCCAGGTCCCAGGTATATATACCGTATTAACCATGCCTCTTCACTCCACATCTTCCCCTCCATCCGTGCGTTCCCACCCCACCCATCCCCGTCCATCCGTGGCCGTGAACACCGACCCCAAACCGGTCTTCGTCCGCTCCGAACCGTGGTGGTCGACCGGTCCGGTCCGCCTGTGTCACTGGCGCGGTCACGTAAGGCATGGCGACCTGCGACCTGACAGGACCCGCAGCGAGCAAGCCGAGCGAGCGCAGCTGCACGCGTCCCGGTGCTGAGAGCTCGGGGGTCGTCGCGAGTCCGGTGAGTCCAAGCAGGTTGAGATGCCACTCTGAGATGCCGTGGAGATGCCGTTGGGAATGTTGGAACGGATGAAAACCAAGTGTGATGAAAACATCTAAACCCTCTTTGGGGAAATGAACATGAATCGTTCAAAACCACCCACGGTTGGAAACCGTGTCCTGGAGGGTCAGCTGCGACCAGCTAAAGACTGCTGGCCATGTGATTCTTCAAAATCATTGTCTTATAAAGGTCAAAAGCAGCGCTCACCACATGTTTCTCCAAGGCGGGCGGTGCACGAATGAAACTGGATCAAGGGCCCTAAGCCGAAAGGTGGCGAGATCAAATGGCAAACCTGTCAGCCAAGTTCAGCTCAAAACTTTCACTGGTATTCTTTCTTTTGCCATTTGTCTCTATGCCAAGGCTTTGAGCGTAGGCTTTGGCCTCATCTGACTCTGTCAAGACCGCTTTGGCATTCTGAAGCCATCTTCGAAAAACATCTCTAAGGTCTTTACTGACCTTCGTCAAGCAGTCTGAAAATTGGTATTGGGTTGGCAGCCACTTCAACTGTCGAGCTGATACTGATTCTTGAATTGCTCGGATCGAGACCAGCGTGCGCTTGTCATTCAAGACGGGCGCAGGGGCCTGGATGGCGTCAAACAAGCTTCGAGCATCGACGGCATGGTAGGACTCAAGTTTGAGGCCAACTCGGTGGGCTGGCTGAAGGTAAAGGAATTCTCTATCCTGTACGATCTGCAGCTTCATCAGCGGCTGTTGCTTCTGCCGCTAGGGTTGACCTACAAACTCTAGGAGATCTGGTGGATCTCCAGTCCACCACTGTGAGGGTGGTTGGACGCTCCAGCACGTCGGGCGTCGTCAGCCCAATCACCAGTCCAATCTGAGATCCGGACTTGCGAGCGTTCGCAAATGATGCATCGCTGTAAGCAACCATGGTGGTGCTGGCATTGAAGGGGATGTCCTGAAAAACCAAACCATCATCTGAGGTCTGATGAAGATACTCGATAGCTTCAAACAGGACCTTGAGGTGTTCCAGCTTGGCTTCATTGCCATGTGGGGTGAGGCTCACTGTTGACGCTAAGTCTGGGCGGGTCTGAGTGCTGACCCACTGAAGACATCCACAAATGCTTCTCAGCTCTTTCTGCTCTTCCATGCTCAAGTCTTGCGACTCCTGTTGTCGTCCTCGTTTCAGGGAACCACTGCTCAAGTTGTTGAGGAACTTCTTCATCGTCAGCTTCAAAACAAAGCGTCCGGCTTCATTGCGTTGAATCTCAAGTTCCTTTCCCTTGAAGGTGACAGGGACATAGGGCTCGAGGTCGGTGATGGAACCCCATCGGAACAAAGACCGAACTTCCTCGATAGGGTAGTCCTGTCGATAGATTCCCAAAAAATCATCTACGTACACTAGGATGATGGAGACAATTTCTTCTCTGTCTTCTTGCTGGGTGGTCTTGTAGAAGATGCAGGCATCAAATGAGTGCTTGCGGTAGTTGATGCTCTCCAGCCTTTTTGATACCTCACGGTACCAAGTCAACGGTGCATTGCACAAACCATAGATGTTTCCGCGGATGCGGTAGAGCCGAGCTTTCCAATGTTGGGTGAGCTTGATGACGCCGTCGGACGGCGGCTTGAGGTACAAAGGAAGTTTTCGCTCTACTGTATCTTGGGCACCTTGTAAGAAAGCTGTTGCTGCATCTGCCACCCATGCTTGCCAACGCAGGCCACTGGTGAAGAGTTCTCCGTTCAGGCCTGCTGTGAGCATGGTGAGGATCAAGTATTCAGCCACTCTTCCAGGTGTTCCTGCTTGTCGACTGACCGATCCCAAATCCGGATCGAGGTGTCCGAGCGCTACTTGGCTTGTAGCTCTCCAACTCCGCATGCTTTGTCTCGATAGCATGCGCGGGAAGGGATCACCCTTTTGACCAGCTTTGGGTCTTTCAAGACCTCGTCTGCTTGCTGGTCAATGAGTGGCTCAATGGACTGCCATTCGCTGCAGGAGTTTGCCTCTTTGTCTACTGAAGCTATGAACTTGTCTAAGTAGTTTTGTGGCATCTGGAGGATGGATCTCCATGGGATCTCTCTGTCAATAGCCTTGATCTCCTGTCGAGACAGGCCTTGCTTGTAGGCTGGTGTCACTGCTGTTGCATTGCTGCTCTCCTCGTTTGTGGCTGCTGGTGTAGGCGGTTGCTCTGCAGCGGCGGAAGTAGGCTGTTGCTCTGCAGCTGCTGAAGTCATCTGTAGTTCTGCGTCAGAATCATCTGATGTGTCTGACTCGTCTGCTGGCTTGCCAAGTAGTTCAACGTCTGCTCTGCGTTGTGCCGTGTTGAGATATGCTTGGTGAAAGGCCGTGTGAGGTGCTCCGTACGTGGACCATGTGTTCATGTCTTGTGGGTGGTGCAAATGATGGATGTCTCCATCAATGTCCACGTACATCATGGTGAGTGCGTCAAAAGGCCTTTTTGCTGGTAGGCTTGGCAATGCTTGCTCAGTGTGCATGCTTGTTGCCTGTTGTGCCTCATCGGATGTTTGTTGCTGTGGAAGTCCCACAGTGGTTTGCTCCAGTGGTGCGCTTGGTAGTTGAGGTGGGTCAGGTGCCGCCGAAGTGGTTGACCCTGCCGGTTCACTTCGTGATGTGGCTCGTGGTGCTGGTGGCGTAGGCAACTCTGCATGTAGTGGAGTGTGTGAAACTAGTGGCTCCGCCTCTGCTGATGTTTGTGAAACTGCCTTGGAGGATGCTGCGGCAGTATTTGCCGGTGTTTGTTCTGCTGCGATGTTCGCATGTTTCAGCATGTGGTGCGATGTTCGCTCCTTGTTCAAGCGCTGCTCGATTGGCAGGTGTTGGATGCGCACGTGTTCCTTTGGAAGGTGTGCGAGATCGTCCACGGGCTCGTGGCGTCTTTGGTGCCTTTGGTTCATCGCCGTAGCGGTGAAACTCTTGCCTGAACATCTGGTTTGTGATGTGTGTCGGGCTGTCAATGTGTAATTGTACTGCCGACTGGGCCGTATTCGTGATGTTCTGGCGAATGTCAAGGGTAGGTGTAGTAGCAGTTGGTGGGTTCGGTGCTGCGGATGCCGCTGCTGCTGGTGTTGTGGGGACTGCCATACTCTCCCTCGTATGCCATGATGTCCTGGTCTTCTGGTAGTGGTTGTTGTTCTTCATGAGGTTCGGGGCCACGTTCATCAAACAGGTGCTCGTGCATGGTCTTAGAGGCATCCTTGAGACATTGAATGTCTTGCTTGTCTGGTGTCCAGTGCTCGTATCCAAAGGCTGCTCTTAACTGCTCAGCGGTAACGAGGACTGTACCTCCTTGTGCCTGTTTGCCTGGGTGTGACGGGTCCCATGAAAGGAAAGTTCCAATGACCCAACTGCCTCTCTTTTTTAGGGCCTCGTCGTTGCCAACGCCAGAAGGCACATTTCTGGCCTGGTTGGAGGTCTGCGACTCGGGTGTTCCGGGTCTTACGGGTGAGTGCCCTGCGGAGGTGCTGATTGACGTCGAGGTCATGGAGCGTTTTCAAGGCCTCGCTTCGAATGACTGCTGCCTTGAAACCTGGGTCATGGAGGTCCTGGTAGGCTATAGGTGTTGATGTGGCAAGGACCAAGTTGTCGCTGAAGTTGGAATCTGGCAGTCTGGGAACTCGTCCAAACACTGCTTGGTATGCGCTTCTGCCGTGAGTGTGTATGCCACTGTTGAGCGCATGGCATGTTGCTGTGAGCAGTGTGTGGCATTGGTCTGCCTGGGCTGCCGCAAAGGTATCGATGAGCTTCTCCAGGATGAGTCGGAGAAGTGCATTTCTTCGTTCTATGACTCCAATCACATGGTGGGCCTCTGGTGGGCAATGTTCAACAAGGCACCCAAGGGCCTCCAAACGGGTTTGGAACTCACCCCGGAATGCACGGTCTGGATCGCACTGAACCTTGAGTGGAATCCCATATGGTCTCATCCACATCTGGTCGAAACACTCGCAGGTGGTGATGGCTGGCATGATTCGAGCCTGGTGCAAACCTGTGGCCCGGTCCGCTACTCCCAAGATCAGGAGCGTCGATGAGTCCAAGGTACGACAGTACACAAAGTCCATCTGCACTTCATCGCCAAATTGGCCCATGAAGGGTCGAGGCATGGCTGATGGCCTCGGCTGCTGTGGTGGTCTAAGGCGCTCGCAGGTGGCGCAACGAAGTTTGCGTGCGCATTCGTAGACCTTGTCAGGAACGTCTCCCTGGTGGGCCAAGAGTCTGCACAACTCTTCTTTGGATGGGTGCCCCATGTTGCAGTGGATTCGGGCGATTGAGGTTCGAACTTCTTGGCCGATGTCTTTGGAGAGGCCAGGAAAGTCGACGTCCGTGGGAAGTCCTGGAATCACTGCTGGGACTACGCCGGTGGTTGTGATGGATGAAGTTTCCGCCGATTCTGGTTCCAGGCGCCTATAGCCGTAAACAAAAACGGGTACTCGGACGGGTTTGGTGAATCTCTGGCGTGGAAACCGCATCTCGTCAAGCTGTTCTGCACGGGTGTCATCGCTGTGGATGAGAAAACATGCTCGGCCGGTGTAGTCATAGAACTGGAGTGGTAGCTGCCTGGTTGTTGGGTTGGCCACCACTTGGATGCGTGTTGCATCCATTCGGAGTAGGTCTTGGATCTGTCGGCCTTGTGGTGTGTCTGGCACAATGTAGTAAGGTCGTTTGGCTGTGTGTTCATATGCTCGGTCAAGGTCCTGGACGATGGTGTCCCATTGGCTGAGGTCTGTTGTCGGGTGTTGTACTGGGAAGGCCTCGAAAGGGTTTGAAGCCTTAGTGCAAAAACGATGTGGTTCCTGCTGCCGGGTGTATTGTTGGAGTATTCGTAGTATTGCCCGACACAGTGCTTCTGGGTACTCTTCTGAGTGTTTGGTGTCCCGACCTTGAATAGGGACGCATTGTTGTCGTTCGTGTGGCAGTAATCGTCGGGCAAGAAGAGTGTCCATGCCCGGCATATTGCCCATGAACTTGTATGGTTTTGCAACTGGTTGTCCTGACTGGTTGGTTGCTCCAAAAGCTCCGGCGTCTACGACAATCTCCCAAACTCCTGGCATCTGGCTGAGGCGAATGACTTGGGGATTTTGCCACAACTCTGAGCGCTGTGGGTTTTCCAACAAAAAGAATCTGTTGGACTGGTGTTGCTCCAGGGCCACGTCTATGGCAAAGTCCAGGAGTGGTTTGTCTTTCTTTTGGAGTTTCTTCCACTCTTCCGGTCGGTGACTGTAATTGCAGTTCTTGATGCAGTAGTAGGTGCACTTGAGGCCACACATGGTCAAGCGAGGTTTGAATCGTCTGGGCACTGCCATTGCTTGTTGTTGAGTCTGTTGCTGTGCTAGGTCCTGTCCATAGATCAAGTCCCATGGCTGCAGTGCGTTCAAACTATACTCGTTTGCCAGGTGTGAACAAAGTGCTTTTCCTGCATAAATCTCCCACAGGTCTGCTGAGGGAACTCCTCTTGAGGCGGTTGATGGAGCGGCCTGGTAGATCTCATGCTCATGTTCCAGGATTTTGGCCGATCTGTTCCACATGCCTCTGAGGCGCTTGCTAGTGCCAGCCAGCTTTCATGGATCGGACACGAGTGCCCAGTCGAAGTTCTCCTCGTCCGACTCCGATCTGAGGACTCCCAACTGATGAAGTCTCTCCCATCGTCTCATATCTTGTCTCCGGGCCAGTTCGTTCCTGGCGTCCTCGAAGTAGTCCTCGTGCAGAAAGGCATGCTGTTCCCACGTCGCCGGTGTGGCGTCGAGTGGGCTCTCCTGTTGCACGATCTGGAAGACTTCCAGCTGCTCTTGTTCGTTGAGGTGATCCATGATAAGACTGTCCATGTTGAACGTGGTCCAAATTGGTGTCGAACCGGGCGCCACCGTCGGTGGTGTCTCTTGCTTGATGACTTGATGGTGTAGCCCAGAGGGGCTGCCTGTGAGCTCCTCGAGGAAGCTGGGCGGGCTTTCGAAGTGGCCTTGGTCGTAATGGTTTCCGAAGAAAGTGCTGGCAAGGGTCGCGATTGCGAAGAGTGCCCTTTTGGCCCACGATGCGGAGCCCACTTCTCTTCGAGATTGTCCCATTTGAAAACCACTTCGCACTCCATGCACTGGCTGAAACGGCCGTGTGCATTGCCGTACCTGCGGGTCTGCTCGTGCTTGCAGTGTTCGAACCTCTTGAGGATGCTCACTTGAGGTGGCAAGGCATCCATGACTTGTGGAGGCAGGATCCCGAAGTGCACGGCTCTGGTCATCTGCTTGATGGTGTCCGAGAGGAAGGTCATGAGGGTAGCCACCATCCGCTTCCAGGCGACCAACCATGCTGGTGGAGCTTAACGTCACTGATCAGCGGGAGGCTTGAAGGCAAAAAAAAGCTCTGGATGCGGTGAATGCCAAAGATCCTCATGAGTGAACTCTTTCCAAACATCCAACTCCGACACAGAATGCATCGGAACAGCAAATTCTGTCAACGAAATCGCAAGGTGTCCTCCAAGTCTGTGAACCTTTGTCTTCACTCCCAACTTGCTAAAACAAACCCAGTCTTCTGAAAAAATTCAACGTTGCACCAAGTTCAGTCAACAGAGGGTTTGAACCAAGAAAGGGAATCTTCTCGTCCAACACTGAAGCACCGACGAGACATGGAGTTCCACCAATTCCGGACGGCAAATAAACACGTGTGCTCGATGTCGATGGATTCCCCTTTCCAAACTTAAATACATCTGTTGTCTCGTGGTAATGAGGGACCAAATTGAACTTCTTGAGGTGGTTGATATGGTCTTGCAACCACGCTTTGCCACAGCACGTCCGTTGACATCCAATACCAAAAAAACCTGCAAAATGGTTGGAGGTGTAGGAGGTGATCTCGTTGATGATGAACGGACGTGATGGGCTCGATGAAACATGACCGACCATGCCAACCTGAAACAATGAACCAAACTCTTCATCCACGTGCTGTCCAACATCCAACACTCCATGATCGTGGTGGACGAATCGCACTGCATGCTGTTGCGGCTTTTTGTCGAATGGCTTGGGTGATTGAGCATAAGTCGTATGCTTGGAAATGGTGGATTTTCCACCGCCATTGCCCTTTCCACCGTTCTTCGGACAGATTGGGTCCTTGTACCAATGTCCTCTCTGGCCGCATGCAGTGCAGTGGGTTGCACGCTTGGCGTCATCCACGGTCCTCTCACGAGGTTTACCTGCACTGTTGACTCCAGGTTTGGTCCATCCTCTTGCGAGGGTCATGCTGCTCAACTTCTTTGCCGTCACTGTAAGAACCTCCGCCAAATTGACCAGTTCAGCAGCGGGGTCGTCCGCCAGTTCACCGTCAGATTGGTCTTCGGGTTCTTGGTCATCGTCTTCATTGGGCTCATCTTTGTCTTCAAAGTTCTCTTCAATGGGGTCTAGTGTGTTGTCATCCGGTTCCTGCTGGGCCTCTTCGTTCTCAGCGATGAATGCACGCTTTGGTCCAGAAAAACCTTTTCCTGAGCCAGTCGAGCTCGGTGCAGTCGAAGCTGATGAACTGGAGGATGATGTCAAGCTTTTGCCAACACGTTTGCGACTCTCTCCTTTAGTGGTGCCAGCTATGGGCGGTGCTCCACGAAAGTCTGGATATTGTAGGACCATTGCTTCGGCAATTGCCTCAAAGCTCAATGATTGTTGAGCGCCGACCAACAACATGCGCTGCGCTTCAGCCGTCAGTCCACTGCGGTCCAACAAACGTGCTCCCAAACTTTCTGAATCATATGTTCCAGAAATGTCAATGCCGACTGACTTCAAATTCCGCTGTGCCCGACGGAATCTGTTGATGTAGGCACGCATCTGTTCTCCATTGTATCGCCTCATGTGTTCGAAATCGTGTAGGTATTTGCGCTTCTGAAAAACTGCTCTCTGCTCCATTGGTGCCTTCAACATTGTCAAGATTGTCTCAATGGCTTGATCGTTGTACAACTCATCCAATGAAACATGCTCAAGCTCCTGTTCTGCTTCTCCAGTCAACGCAGTGTATAAGAGAAGGGCCTGATCGGCCTTGGAAGCATATTGAGTCATCTGCAGTTCCCAAATGCGCACCTTCTTCGTGAACTTGGAGTATGCTCTCAAGTCTGTAGCATCGTATTTCCAGCTTGGTGGGGCTGGTGGCTGTCCTGACTTCCAACGGAGGCCTTTGTCTGGCCCCTTCCGGGGATCCCAATCGCTTGCAGTCTCGGACTTCTCCTTGACCAACTTGCGCAATGCCTGAAGCAGAGGATCTGACTGAGTTGAACCTTGCTTGGATCGGTCAGCGGCATGGAGGGATCGAGTCTGGGATGGGTTTCTAACCAGTGGTGTGGCTTGTACTGGCTCTACTACGAAGGTGTCAGGGTTCACGATGGGGTCGGAAGTGCGCTGTTCGTACTCGGCTTGGTGCTCATGAACCTCGGACATGCCATCACTTTGTGATGGTGGGCCAGACTTCTTCTTTCGACGTCGCCTCTGGCGGGGAGAAGGGTCGGGCTGTCCATGGGGTACATAAAGCCATGTACCTTCAGGTGTCATCCGCTTTGTTGCATGGTTCACCTCATAGAAATCTACCGAACCGCACTGTAAACAACACCAGTGATCATCGTCCCAACGAAACTCTGTGGATGAACAATCCCAGCATCGCCAAACAAAATGTCGTGACGAGGGGGATGCACCCTGTTCCTGGATCGGTTCTTCCGGTGCAGCCGTGGGGAACTCTCGAAGTGAGGGTAGCGAAGGAGGCCAATCTTCCTCATCATCCGACTCCCCATAGATCTGATGCCATGTAGGCATGAATGACGCAGGCTGAACCGAAGAAAACAAAGCTCCGTGCCAACTTATAAAGGTCAAAAGCAGCGCTCACCACATGTTTCTCCAAGGCGGGCGGTGCACGAATGAAACTGGATCAAGGGCCCTAAGCCGAAAGGTGGCGAGATCAAATGGCAAACCTGTCAGCCAAGTTCAGCTCAAAACTTTCACATTGAAACCCCCCTCGCAAGTCAGGAACAAAATGGACTGTCGAAGGCCAAATTCAAGGCAGTGGCCAAACTTCGGCCTTTCTCGGGGATGTTCAATGGGTTGAAATCTCTTGTATATCAGCCCTTTTCTCATTCCGCAGCCCATTTGTTGAGGCACCCGGCAGTCGAAAGAGGATGGCTTCGCGATGGGTCAACTTCGAGGATTTCGAATTCGTTGGCTGCGGCGGAGGGTCGTCCACACGGTGTGCACCATGTGCAAAGAGCACCTTTTCGTCCATATGAAGTGGAAATCGAAAGTTCCGGTTTGTAAGAGGGCAACATTTTAGCAAAGGCCATGCCATCCACTTCTATGTTTTGTGGAGATAGAGGGACAGCGCAATTTGCATCGCCTGTGAAACTCCATCTGGATATATCTGGATATCCCACACCGGAAACTGATGTGTCAACATCTCCTCAAAAGCTGGTTTGGGGGATCTTGATTTGCCAATTCTGATGGAAGAAGGGGAAGGTGAATCATGAGGTCAGTGTTTGCGTGCCACTTTGGTGCTTGAGTGTACCATGGGTGCCGGTATCGCATCTTCCCCCGAGCTTACCAATCACCTAATGCTAGGATGGTAATGCAAGCATTTCTCCCAAGAAAATACACTGTTCAGTTTGATTGGTGCGCAAGGCACAACCTTGGTCCTTTCAAGATGAAACGAACCTCCGTCCTTCTTCTCGAGCTGTGTGAGCTGTCATCATAGGTGAGCTTGGAAGACCATTGGATACTGGTTTCATGCGTTTCATGTTACCATGCTTGGCGTAGAAAACCACCAATTACAGTAGCTCAGTCGGTCCCCGACGTGTCTGGGTGTTCTCGCCTCAGAAAGGACATGCTTCTTTTCGATCATCGAAAGGCTCCAGGATGACTCCCACAAAAAGAGGTAGACCTGTTCTTTCGTTGCGTCTCAGAATCTGTCAACTCAGGGGGAACAAACGCGCAGCTCCAGCAATATGAGGAGAAGATCATCTTTTTTACAATGGCGCCTGCTGCTCACGCGCCTGCTCACGCGCTGGGTGAACAGGATGAAAACTGCATATGTAGATTAATCATACGTAATATGTACAGGTCAGGATGCGCAAATGGCATCACAGCCGCTCAGGCTCCAGCCAGTCAAGCAAACAAAACCCTCACGAAGTTCTATTGAACTGTTGGGTGGAAGATAATTTTGTAGCTATAGACAAAAGGAAGCCCGCTTAGATCCCACATGATGATCGTTTGCGCCAAGCACACAGAGTCTTGTCGCGTTGAAGTCCAAATAGGGGTAAGACAAAGGAATCATGGAATCAATGCTAGTGACATTGTAGCCAAGTAGCTTGCGTCCTCCAATTGCTTGCAGATTGAAACCAAGATTCACAGAATTGCAGAAGAAAGGAATGACAATCTCGATCCATCTCGTCAATCTGTTGTGTTGGTGGGCATCCCCATCATTCCCCATCAGGTCCACATGACCTTGGAGTACGTCACCACGTCACCACAGGGATCACGGCATCCTTCATGCACGCACCAAGGAAGCCAGAAGGACCATCAAACAAAATCCATTCGAGCGACAAGCACATAGCTACACTCCCTGGAACAACCATGGAAATGGCAAATGGCCCCTTGGATGACCATTTTCCGAATACCAAACAGGTGGCTGTCCACTTCCATGATGATTTCAGTGAACGTAGAATAGTCTATTTTCCAAGACTTGTTCTAAGATGTTCTAAGTAGTGATTGTCCGATACTCTAACAAGAAACATTTAACAGGAGGTCTGTCTCCTCCAGCCCCTCCACCCCTGACCCTCTCTTCTTGCCATGACACACGCTCCAGAGGTGCTTCAACTGCTTTGAGCTCTGGCCTGGCAGTGGAGATCTTCAGGTGCGGCCCCCAGGTGGGGCTACTGCATGTCTCAGAACATTATACCTCAACAGAACCTCAGCATGTTTGTTCCTCTCGCAGTCAATTGTCGACGTATTCGCCAACGCCTGTACCTTCCATCTGTTCTTGTTTAGTGACTACAAAAGTGGGGAAACCAATTACCAAAGGATTTTGCAGGTTCTCCAGGTACTTCCTGAATAGACAAGTCAACATCGGGCACATTGCAAATCTCGAAGGCACTGCAAGAGCACACCAGGGCCCCAGGATCGATCAATTCGGAAATATTCAAAAAGAAACGTAGAAACCAAAAGCGGCCACGGTCTAGACCATTGCCATACAACAGATGTTTCTTCCCGAATTTTCTGACCGACAAGTCATGGCTTCTGAAAGCTTCTGAGCTTGTGCCAAGCATTCAAGGCAAAGGCACCGAAGGCCGTCACGCGTGAATCCACCGGAGGCGCCTGCGCGGCTTGATTTGCTGAGCAACGTTCCCAGATGCGCTTTTCTGCCTGGCGGCAGACGAGCATCCAACGACAGAGGCCCGAAATCCCGGCCCCGGTTGGCCTGGCACTCTTCGCGAAATGACTCGTGAAGGCAGAGCTCAAGGAGAGTGTCGTTCTCCTGCATGGCGTCAGCCAGAGCCTGGCAGTATGATGGGTCCAAATTGTGGACCCATGAAGCTCAAACCCACGTCACAGACGGCGTCGATGCCTCAATAGCCTCCATGCCACCAATGCCGATGTGATTCCCGCTCAGATTGATGTAGGTCATGCTGCGGTTCTGCTTCAGCACCTGCGCCAGTGCCTGGTATCGACACCAAACCAAACAACCCACCATCCCTCACACAGAGGATATCCATCGCCTTTGCCCCAGCATCTTTAATTTGATTGTTGGACAGGTTGATGTGGGTGATGCTCCGGTTGAACAGCAGCGCTGCCGAGATCGCCTGACTCTCAGAACTTTCTGGCTGCTAAAGTCACTTCTAACAAAGGCCTTTGAAAGTTCTTGAGCAATGGTGGGTGGGTTGTGTTAAATCCTGAAACCGGACTCCACATGCACATCAAAGTGCGCTTCAGGTTCTGCAGGGCACTGTAGGAAGCCTTCTTGGAAAACAAAAGAAAACTGGGCAGACCAATTGAAGACTGGACAAGAGAGAGAGAGAGAGAGAGTCATCCCCACTCAGCCCTCAGAAGGATAGGATCATATACGTATCTGCAAACTTGGAAGATAATCAGATCTCTGGACAATGGACTGGGCTGTGTGGATAATCGACTATAGGTAATAGTCTTGGAACCCTGTCAGTGCTGGCATGAGCCAGTGTGTCTGAAAAACGGCTTTAGCTGCACAGTCCGTGGCCTCCAGTCCAACATCGGTGATTTGATTGCCTTGCAGGTAGATACGGGTGATGCTATTGTTGCCCGCCAGTGCTTCCGAAAGAACCTTGCAGCCCGGAGGAGATGGCAACGATGACTGAAGCGATTTCATGCGATGTCTCTTTCACTCGGGGCCTGGACTTCAGCATCCCCGATGCAGTAGTGGGAAAGATCAATCTTCCTCTTGGTGCTGTCTCTCTTCAGGTCTTCCAAAAGTGTCTGGCACGGTGCTGCCGATCGGGCGACCAGATCTGACTGGAAAAAGGTCACCAAACCAGTGTGGCTTAGCTGTCATCCCGGAAAAGAATGTAGCCCACTCTTGAACTGCCGGCGTATGGTCTTGACACACGTTGAAGAGTAAGAAGTCCAATTGCGAAAAGTGCTGACAGAGCAATCATCTTAAGTTGGATCCGAACGGATAGAATGTCGGAATATGTCCCTGAACTCCCTGAACTTTGCAAAACTTTTGGTGTCAACCCGTAGCCGTTGTTCCTCTCAATGCACCAACGTTTGCCACAGGCTTCTCTGGGGGTAACATTGCGTACCCAGCGAGAACTGAGGCCTCAACCATGACTCTTGCAATTGCCTCGACGTGTTTCCGGGCTGAGATTACCCCATGCGTAAGTCTGCAGATTTAAGATTTGAGTACATGTCTTTTTGCATGAAAGTGCTTTTCTGTCCAGATGCCAAGAGAAAGAAATGAAGCATACATGTCTAAGAAATAATGATAAAGAAAACAAGCTCATCATAGGACGAGATTGACACGTAACTAATGCTGACGGTTTGGTGCACAAGAAGAAGGCAACATCTTTTAAGAGTGACCGGTGGGGTCTCAAGGCCGCTGGCTTCACGAAACAAAGTGTCGAAGGCAGCTTGCAAAAGAAAACGCTCAGGTGCCTTCGAAGGCACTCTTGCTCAGGTGCCTTTTGGCACTCTTTGTGTCGAATGCAGCTTGCTCAGGTGCAGAAAATACAGCAAAGAGTGCCAAAGAGTGCCTGTGCATGTGCGGTTTTTTTTACGGTGACTACAGGCAGGGGTCGGCGTGTGGGCGGGGTTCGGCGTGTGACATGTGAGGCTACGGCCTTCGGCGATGTCCTTGTTGCTGCGGAATCGAACAGACACGGTTTCACAACGAATTGCAAAGTATGCATGAGGGTGGCACTGGGTTGCATTGGTGCCGTTCGCAATTGCAGTGGCCTGCAACTGAAAGTTGGCTTTGTCGAGGATTGCTAAACCCATTCATGACTGCATGAGCTCACGATTTGCAGAGGATCTCTGCACAAGTAGAGGGAGGGAAAGGCACTGAAAGAAGAGATCTCTAGAGAAAGTAAACAAACATCTAGATTTCCACATAAAGTGTTAAGGAGGTAGATGTCTAGAGAAAACCATGGAGATTTCTAGGGACTGCTGGTATTTCACCGCCTCAACCACATCACCACATGTTTGTTTCGCTGCAATGCAGGTCACCCAATACGTGTTCTGCCAGGACCCCCCGGCTACACTTCAACACATCATAAAGACACTACATACATTTGAAAGCATCACATTCAATAGCTACCACATTACACTTCACCTATGACAAATTACAGTACCACACATGACATCACCTCCGCAGAAAATAATCGCACATCGCTCAATCCCATATCACAGCAGTGGTCTCCAACTTTTCCTACAAACACACCCGCTCTCAAACACCGGCCAGAGATTCCTGGCACATTGACAATTACAGTAGAACAAGGTCGTTTGGTGTGCCATTCAGTCCCCAGGTTGCCCCAACTCCTGAGGCCCCTGAGGCCGGAGCTCTTTGATTCTCCTCACAACGTGTTCGGATCCGCTTCAGCAGGGCCTCTGGCGGGAACGGAGGATACCACGGCGATCCGATGTGGAGAGCGGGCCTCAGTTTCAACATCACCATTGTGGTCAAGATTGATCTCACGAACGATGTTATTGTGCTCAACTGCCTCGGCCAGCGCCTGGAAAGAGGGGGTCAAAGCATGTTTTGGAGGGCATGTTTTGGATGTGGGTAGTGATGCTAATGATTGAGCTATGTGCATGGTGAATCATCATCTCGCATGATGTATCCCTGTCCTACTGTTTGAAGCAAACAGACGCAAACCTATGGCAACAACACGTATACAAAATGTAAGTGCAAGCAAACAAATCATGTGATCATGTTTCATGAGATCCAATCTCATGACATATAAATTGACGATGTCTCAGTTACTGCAAATCTCGAAGCAAAACAAACGAAATCTCCAATCCAGGGCAAGGCGGCCTCCACACCCAAACGACCAATTGCATTACCTGCAAGGTTGATTGTGATAATAGTCTTGTTCTGCAGCAACATCTGGGCGATGGCCTGGCATCTGGATTCTGCAGCGGCCACCGTGTATGGATGGCGAAAACCTCCACATGGCCTTCGCACCAGCGTCGGTGATCTTGGGGTGGCTGGACGAAAGGTCGATGCGGCTGACTTTCCGGTTCAGCTGCAGTGCCCCGGCCAGCACCTGTTTTCAGCACTCACCCGAGCACAAACAACTCAGCACTCGCCCTGGGCCTTGATTTCCTCATTCCCAAGGAGTTCCCTTTGGAGATCAATCTGTGTCATGTCGCCACCGAGCTTCAAGGCATCCGCCAAAGCCTCCAATGCCCGGCGCCAGTCAGTGTACGCCCGGTCGAGTGGATGCCAAACCATGCTCTAAAGAGTTCAAGCCACCAAAGTTGCGTATATATATATATACATACTTTGATGAATTGTTTGTTCTGGATATTGAAGTCTTTTCTGATATTTGGGTTGATGTGTAAATCATAACATGTCCGATTCTATCAGGCTTAATTCAAGCAACTCTACACGACAAGAGCTGCGAATGTGTCTACAACGTGTCCTGGATGCGTGGGCGTCCGGGAAATGCATCTGCACGTTCACCCTTGTCTTCCTTGCTTTTTGCAGGTGGAGGGTCCAGAGCCTCAAACAAACGCAGCCACGTTCTAAGAATGCAGCAGGCTACGTTCAAGTCTGATGACTGATGACATGATGTTGAATCCTCCGAACTTTGCGTCTGAACCCATGTACAGGTCATAAAGATCCAGAACCCTACATCGATCTTTGCGCCAACAACGCACAAGGAAACATGCCGTCTTCATAAGTTCTGTTACGCCAAGGTATCTAGCAGCCTCTGCAGCCCTGTTGGTCAGGATCCTTTCTTCTATGTCCTGCAATGCCTCGCGCAACTTTGCCAACAGAATAAGAACAAACCCCACACAAAGACCCAGAGAGTACCGGCCTGCTTCCCCAAATCAGTTTCCCTATCTGAAAGGCCCCTTCCTCTTGGTGTTGGCATAATTCCACGTTGCTACACTCCACATTGGTAGAGGCTCAATCAATCATTCGTGTTTGCGCGACATGTATTTGGTATATATGTATTTTTATTTATATGCAAATCAACATAATATATAGATATATTGTGAATGACAAACTGGCCAGTCTGTGCACCTGAGAGGCCTGGTTTGAACGAACGGGCGCCTCGCCCAGTACAGCGTCCTCGCTGTAAGCCTATGGCTCAAAGTCCTCTGGACCCGCCCACGCCACCCTGCGGCCTCGCGCCCGAATGGCTTCGGCAATCGAAACACCTTGGTCAAGACAGGTGGCATGATCCTCAGTGACTTCACGGTTCGAAATTCACATTCCTCAAAAACTCTTTGTGTCCTTTTCTTTTGGTCAAAAACTTCTCAATTGCAACCTTTCATTGTTCGTCAGCTGGTGATATTCCGGACTTAAGCCACTTCAAGCGGGTTCTGCTGTCGGCACGCTGCTTCAAGACTTGCAACTCATCGTTCAGTTGATATCGACCATGTTGCAGTGTATACCTGAGAAAGGTCCCTTGCATCACCTTGCTGAGGCCATCTGCTAGCTGAGCGCCTGTGTGAACCCATCGCAGTTGGATTCCTTCTGATAGCAGATCCTTGATTGATTTGGCTTGGAGTTGAGTTCGGAACTCTTGACCATTTGGTTGAGCCGTTCTTGTAACCAGATCATACAGTGATTTGCAATCTGGCACAGTTACCGATCGAGGCAGGCACTGGGCCAAGGCTGTTGTCGACTGAAACGGCTGAGGCTCTCTTCTAAACACCTCTTGAGGCCGCTTCCAGTTCGTTCGGTGATTTTGTATCCATGCACAATAGAGTCTCATCCACGAAAGTTGGTCCAGGCTTGCTTGTAGTGATGTCGCTTCAGCGGACAACGTGCTGGCGACTACTTTCTGGATCTTCCTACATCCCCATGATAATGGGCTCACAGGGCATTGATAGTTATCAATGAGATCCTTGTGAGTTGCCAAGATTATCATACCTGTGTGACTTTCGGGACTCTTGGCAGACGCAAATGATGCGTCAGAGAACAAAAAAATCGAAGATCTTTGATTGGGATTGGTTGAATGCGGATACATGTGCTTCTATATCTTTTAGCTTCGTGAAGTACACAATTTGCATCGCGAAGAATCTGAACGGTGGCTCTGTTACACTTTGAATGAAGCTCAGTCGGCTGGCGAGATCAGGCCTGGCGTTGGCGCTTGCATGCTGGAGGCTGCCCACAAGTGCTCGGAGAGCGTGTCTCTCTTCGGGGGTCACTTCATCCGTCAGACATGTTCGTCTATTCGCATTCATGCGGATTGGTCAGTCTTACTTACATACCTAGATTGGACATAATGATACTCTTGTCTGCATGTTGGTTCATATCGACCTTGGTGAACGTGAACTGTCCTACTTTCTTGGGCCTGAATGGAAAGCATTTGTCCTACCTTCTTCGAATTTTGCAATCTGGGCCTCGAAGTATTGGTCACCACCACACAGCCCGTCGTCGACGTGAATGCCCAAAACCCCTGACAGAGATTTTTGACCGGACTTGTACAACACATAGGCGCATGGGTCGAACGGTGCGGGAATGAAGTTGAGTTCACGGAGTGTTTTGTCCAGTTCCTTGCGCCACAGAGCGTGGATGAGACCGTAGGCTGACTTTTCCAGTTTGCAGATTTGGTTGGGTTTCAAGTTCAAAACACTGAGTTCTTCTACAGGTTCCAGTCCTAGGAATCGATCTTCTTGGGTCTTCCCTTGCAAGAATGTCGAAACTCAAAAATGTCCACCCCATTGATGAAATCATTTGGAGCAGCAGCATTTTTGATTGTTTACCCAAGGTTGGCGAATCTTGAGGGATGCTTTCAAGTTGGGTGTCCTGAAACCCGAGTGGACTGTCCGGGTTAGGAGTGTTCGGATTTGGATTCCGATGCATCGGCATCCAAAGGTTTCCAAACACATATCCATCAGGAATCTTAGAATTTGTTCTGGACTGAGCTGATGGCGAAAGATCTTACTGACAGTACCTGTGCTTAGCCAATTTGCAACTTTTCTTTTGCTTGCTTGACGAAAGAGAGCTTGTTCTTCCGATGACAGTTG